TACGGCAAACTCCCATGTGCCAGGCCATGCGGTGGGAACTAGAGGGGAGGGGGGAGGAAGGAAATGCAACCTCTGTGCTTCAAGGAGCTCCTGGGGCCTCTGGAGAGGCATGGGGAGCCAACCATCTGCTGGAGACTCAGTGACCACCCAGGAGGGAGACAATGAGGCAGGCAGGGTGACACGCCTTGATCCCATGGCTGGGAAAGGGGTCTACAGAACAAGGTTCTATCATCAAGTAGATGAGGAAAACACTGAATTAAATAAGGCAAAGAACAGGCACTTGACTGGAAGACTTCTCAGAGCCTTGAAGACGCTGACCTGCAACATGAATCTCCGAGAGGCTAGAGATGCGGTATTTCCTAAAATTAATGCACTACCAAGCCCTTTCTTTGAGGAGCATTTTCTTGCAAACCTACTTTAGATTCGCAGAGCCGAACATTTCCCTGTGTTATTAAAGACTCTTTGTGAACATCCTTTTTAGTGGCTGTATAATATGTATAAGCCATCATTTATTTCTTTGCTTATCTTTTCTCCCATTGCTGGGCATGGCTCAGCAAGGTTGCATGGCTCCCAGCACCCAGAGGCCACCAGGACTGGCAGCCAGAAGCCTCTTCCTCCCATCGTATTTACCTGGAGGGGCAAAGTGGGTGGCGGAAGTCAGGAGCTGGGCAGGTGGGTGGCTGGGGGTCGATCAGCCCACATTCTTGTCTCAGTTTCCTCGCATGTCTCCAAAGTTTCTCTGCTTGTTTTCCCAGGATGGAGAATTTTCTTCTATGGATGTCTTAATTTGCTTTGAATTCTAGGTTCCTCAAGGACATTTTAACAGGGATACCCTTGTGCACAGTGGCTGTCAGAGGCTGACGTTTCTGGGTGAGAGGAGACCTGGTTTTCCTGGGGACCCCCCACCCCGCCACAGGAACACAGTGAGCAGGAGGAGCGTGCATGGCCCAAGGACCAGCATCCCAGAGGCCTCTCAGGCACCACGAATGTGGTCAGCAACCCTCCTCCACAAGAACTTTGTGCTCCCCAGCCCGGGTAACCTTCATTCTTTAACATTTTTTTAAACATAAAAACGATACAAGTTATACACCCCAAAGTGAAATCGGCAGGCACTCCCGGAGAGGGGAGAGAGGCAGCCTCCCAGTTTTTAATCCATAGCCTTTGTATCCTCAGACTCTCACAACAAGCACTTATTTCCATATTACTCGCACAATTTATAATTTAATTTTTTTAAAAATAGGAATGTAGGAGGGAGGAAACAGTCTTCCCCATAATCCATTAGCTGAGGCAATCAATGTGAATACCTGAGCATTTTTCTTCCAGGCTTCCAGAAAGGAATTTGTTTTCGATACACAGCAAGTTACTTGATAGTAAAAGGGCTCAGCTAAGGGCCCTTGGTGCTGGAGCTGGACCCTGCAGGATTAAGTAGCAGCCCCCTTCAATTTCCTGCAAAATGGCCTCCTCACCCAGCCTCACCTGACTGAAAGGATCCACAAAATAGCACCACGCAGGTGGGATGCGGTGGCTGTTTTCCGAGGGGCTGGAAGCCCAGAGAAGCTCTCTCTCTCCTTGGACCGACTGGGCTGATCTCCAGAAAACCTCCCTCCCTTGGCCTGGGCATCGCCTCCAGGGACCTCTCCAGGCTTTACTTCTTCCGACCTTTGCTTCAGATTCAATTCTTGCTCTTGGCCCCCGACCTAGAACTGGATGCTTTCTGTCTGGCTCTTGTCTCAAATCTTCTCTCAGCCCCTGCCCCAGTTTCCCTTTGCTGGAGCCCTGCCCTCCCATTGCCCCAGCTGCAGGCAGATACCTCCAGTAAGTACCTCCTTCCCCTACTGAGGTCAGAGGCCCTTTTCTATTTGCCAAGCTTTCTGAGGGCCTGTGGCCATAGCAAGATGTCCACATGAGGGACAACTTGGATGCTGGAAAGTCCATGTCATGGGATTCAACCTGGATTGGCCCTTGTGGTTTCTTTATGCCCCTCAAACCACCTCATAGCTCTCCCCAAACCCATCCATCTGTGGGGACTTTGGGAAGCTGAGGGAAGTCCCAGGCCAGGCTCCCTCTAGGGTCTCAGGACATCCCCCGGAGACGGAGACACGCGGTTCCAGGGCGGGCCAGCTCACCCTCCCAGAGGAACCAAGCGCGATGAACTCATGTTTTGATCATGGCCCGTGGGAGCTGCTCTTCTGTTGGTTAAACAGGCAGGAGGTAAACAGGCGCCGAGGAGACCAACTTGGGCTCCCTGTGCAGAGGGTTTCATTATAATGACGACAGCCTCAAAGGTGGGCGGGGGGAGAGGGAAAAACCCCTTACCACCACCACCCCCAGCTGGGTGTGTATGGGCTGCCTTGTGCTCCCTCTGGGTGACTTCTTGGGAGTGTGCAGTTGTTTCTTCCTTCCTTAATTTCATTCTGATTACAAAATTAATACAACTTCATTGTGACAGACTTGGAAAATGCAAAAAGTGTAATGAACAAGACAGAAATGTCCTGAAATTGCATACTCTAGTCACTCTTTCTCACATTCAGCAGGCTTATTGTCAGTACTGCACTTACCATCCTCTGAATTCATCTTACTGATTTATTTGTTTTGCTTGTTTACTGTCGATTTCTCCCCCACCATAATCTTAAATCTTTTTTTTAATTTCAATTTTAATTTTTTAAAAAGATTTCATTTATTTATTTTAGAGAGAGAAGGAGAGAGAGCACAGAGGGAGACGGAGAGGGAGAGGCAGACTCCCCAATGAGCAGAGAGCCCTAAGTGGGGCTCGATCCCAGGACCCTGGGATCATGACCTGAGCTGAAGGCAGATGCCCAACTGACTGAGCCACCCAGGCGCCTCTTTTCTCTTTCTTTTTCTTCTTCCTCTTCTTCTTCTTCTTCTCCTTCTCCTTCTCCTTCTCCTTCTTCTTCTTCTTCTTCTTCTTCTT